TTGATTTCAATTTCATAATTTAATCTAATATTGATTTATACATTAAAAAGTTATCTTAGTTTTGCAGATCTTTACAGAAAATTCAAAATCCTAGTTAAGGTCCTACTTGAATGTAAGCTAATTTCTTACTGGTTTGATTCTGATCAGTCATAAGTAAGATAAACAGCACAACTGTTAGATAATCATTGCTTAGCAAAATTCAGATCATTCTTTTCTTTGTGATTTTAGGTTTATCTGAAGCCTATCCCTTTTACCTTTTTATTTAGGTAACAGTTGTTCATGCAAAGAATATATTGGATTTTGGAGCACTAGTGGCCTTTCTATAGTGAAGTAACAGGAAACAGGTTAGAGAGAGGGGAAAATATGCAGCAAAGGTCTCCACAGGTTATGACTTGGAAGGATGTGTGAAGAACGAAGGAATTGTGCCCTTTAACCTGGTGCTACATGTCATTCTATGCCCTCAACAATTCTTCGAACAGAACAATTTTATTTTAGAAATAAATGTAAAGGGAAAAATGGGTTTGTGTAATGTCTATCTGCCAATAGTTGGGTAGAATCTTAAAAATAATACATATAGAATAAAATACTTTTAATCCAAGGATGATGATGACAAATATTTTAAAGGTATAGTAATGAAATCTGCTTAAGAACCCTCAAGTTTTTAAAAGGCAAACAGACTCTCAGTGGCCAAAAGAAAAGCAATTTCATGGAAAAACTTAGATGTCTGTGACAATTTAAATCTATAAACTGGATGTAAGCCAGGTTCTCATGGTCGGTCCACACAAGAACCGGGTGCTCAGCTCCCTCCAGCCAATGCCTCCATTCTTCCAACGCCAGTTTGATAGCCAGGAGCTCTCGGTCACCCACATCATAGTTTTGTTCAGCGGAAGAGAGCCTACGGGAGAAGAAAGCACAAGGGTGTATTTTCTGGTCTGAGTCAAGCCTCTGGGATAGGACAGCTCCAACACCGGAATCTGAAGCATCCACCTCAAGGATAAACTGCTTCGCAGGATCAGCTTGAATAAGGACAGGTGCTCTGGAAAACAAGGATTTTAATTTTTCAAATGCTGCTTGAGCCTCGGGAGTCCACTGAAATGTGCGTTTAACAGAGGTCAGGGAGGTTAAAGGAAGGGCGGTCTGGCTGTAGTTTCTAATGAACCGACGATAGAAGTTTGCGAATCCTAAAAACCTCTGAAGTTGTTTTCGGTTCTCAGGAACTGGCCAGTCTAAGACTGCCTTGATCTTGTCCTCTGAAGGTTTTACCTGGCCGCCCTCTAGCACAAACCCCAAAAAGGTGACAGATGGTTGATGAAATTCGCACTTCTCGGCTTTCACGAACAGCTTATTCTCCAGAAGTCTCTGTAAGACAAGACGGACATGTTTCTTGTGTTCTTCGAGGTTCTTGGAGTAAATGAGAATGTCATCAATGTACACGAAAACAAACACGTTGAGAAAGTCTCTGAGAACATCATTTACTAGAGCCTGGAAGCAGGCTGGAGCATTAGTTAAACTAAAGGGCATCACTAGGTATTCGAATTGGCCCAAGGGTGTCTTGAAGGCAGTTTTCCATTCATCGCCCTCACGGATCCTGAGGAGATGATAAGCGTTTCGTAAATCCAGTTTGGAAAACACTGTTGCACCCTGTACTGGTTCAAAGGCAGAGGCGAGAAGAGGCAGTGGGTATTTGTTTTTGATTGTAATCTGGTTCAAACCTCGATAGTCTATACAAGGCCTCAGGGAACCATCCTTCTTCCCCACGAAGAAGAACCCGGCGCCCAATGGAGAGGATGAAGGACGAATTATTCCAGCAGCTAATGATTCGTTGATGTATTTTTCCATTGTTTCTCTTTCGGGCTTGGAAATGTTATACAATCTGCTGCTAGGAAGAGGAGCACCAGGTAAAAGTTCTATGGCACAATCGTATGGTCTGTGTGGAGGTAGGGACGTCGCACTGACCTTACTGAAGACAGGGGCTAAGTCATGGTACTCAGAGGGGACTGAAGAAAGGTCAGGAGAGTCCATCTCCCCCCCACCTCTAGGAGACCCCAACAAGGGGGCAGCAGAACGAAGGCATGTAGTCCAGTTAATGTGAGGGTTATGCTTCTCCAACCATTCGAACCCGAGAACCAGCGGGGAACATGCAGAGGGAAAAACAAAAAATGTTATTGTCTCTCGATGGTTACCTGACAGAAGTAGCTCGAGGGGCTGGGTTTGGTGGGTAACTCGATGGAGTCTTTTCCTGTCAATAGCGGATACACAGAGAGGCTGAGAGAGAGGAATGGTTTTAATCTGGAGTTGCTGGACGAGGTTAGAGTCGATTAGGTTACGTTCACAGCCTGAGTCGACGAAAGCAGAGAAGGAGAGGCTTTGATTATCACAAAAAAGCGTGGCAGGCAGTAACAGTCGAGGAGATTTCTTCGTGTTTATTTGGCCCGCCAGACTCCTCAGATCCTCTGGCGGGCCCCGGCTTTTGATTTAGCCGGGCAGGAGGCGATGAAGTGTCCACTCTCACCACAGTAGATACATAGTTTGCTAAGAAAACGCCTCTGTCTCTCCTCTGGAGTGAGCCTGGTGTGTCCCACCTGCATGGGTTCGACATCCCTTTCGCCCGAATGAGAGGCCTGAACAGGCAACGGTAGAGACTGGGGCTTAGACCTCTGAGTGGGCAACTGCTCTGTAGAGGGAGAACAAACAGTCATGTTATGTGAGGCAGAAGAAAATGTACTCTGCTTCTTAGAACTGTTTCTGGCTCGAATTCTATTATCTAATCTGATGGAGAGGCGAATTAGATCTTCGAGGGTGGCAGGTTCATCGAGGGTTGCGAGTTCATCTTTAATTTGCTCGTTCAATGCCATGAAAAAGGCTCCTTTCAAGGCGCTTTGGTTCCATCCGGAAGCTGCCGCCTTAACCCGGAAGTTAATTGAAAATTCAGCCACCGAAGAATTTCCCTGTTTAAGGTTGAAAAGAGCTCTAGAATCAATTGTTTGGTCAGTTTCTTGGTTGAAGACCTGGGTAAATTCAGCAATGAAATCAGAGTAATAGAAATTTAAACTGTCGTCAGCGGCAAATCTTGCCTGAGCCCATTCCAAGGCTCTTCCTGTTAACTGAGAGAGAATAAAAGTTATCTTCTTGTGATCTGTGGAAAAACAGCCAGGGGAGTTCTGAAAGATCAACCGACATTGAAATAAAAATCCTTTGCATTCTTTCATGTTACCAGAAAATCTTTCTGGAAGACTAGGGCGGAACTCAGATGACGTCACTGCCGGTGACCTCGGAGGTGGAATAGGACCCGGAAATGGTTGTGGAACTGGTGTAGCGTTAGCATTGTTTAAACGACTGGTGAAGTTTCGGACAACATGGTCTTGGAATTCTATACGGGAGTTTAACTCACTCAGAGCTTGAACTTGTCTGTGGATATGTGCATCCCGTTCCTCCAATAGTTGACAGAGATGTTCTGCTGGGCCTTGAGTTTGGCCGCAATGTTCTGTCATGATGGGTTCACTGAAGGAGACCCAGTTATGCAGAACACCACTGACGGACACAGGGATGAAAAGTTGAACAGTTTATTAAAGCACAAAACACACAGAATGTACTGATTCTGGTTCGGGCCTGGGAACTGGTTCACCGGAGTCTGCGTGAGAGACAGCACAGTTAGTGACTGCTGACAGGGTTTGATTTCCACTGATTCACTGATTGTACCTTGAGGGTTCTTCAGGTTAATCTTGGGAGAGTCACTGTTGGTTCTGGAGAAGGGTTTGCCAGCAGAGTCCGTTTGCTGCTTCAGCGTCTCACGTCTTAGCTTGAACAGACCTTGGCTTAGATTTTCCAGCTCTAGTCCTGAGCTGCTTGGGGGTTCTCTGTGAATCTTCAGGGTTTGGCTAAGAGGGTCGGCTCGGCAGGTTAGCTCTTCTAGAGATCTCACAGAGGAGGCACGGGTTTCCTGGAAAACAGAGACGGTAGTTAGAATCCAGACTGGATTCAAAGTCATGGAGAAACACTGAAGATCTAGGCTTTAGCGCTGACCAACTGGAACAACACAGCGGCGTTGAGGCAAGGTCTGAAGACAGCTTATATAGTGGATCCTCCGATGATCCTTGACGAGCTGCAGCTGTGCAGGAGGCTCCCTCAGAGGATCCACGGCAGACTCTGCTGGAGAAAGATGGGAATTTCTCCAGCTCCCAACAGCTAGAGACATCACAGTTAAGATAAAACAGTAATGCAGATCTATTTTGGTCTTTTGGGTTGTCACAGTGGTGCTGGAGGTTCGACAGGACCCAAATGCAGACTGAAGCTGAAGGAGCTTTCTTGAAATTTAATTAACCAAAAGTTCAACAGAAGAAAAAAAATCAAGACATAAATCCACAAAAATACTGAAGGCCAGGAATACTCAAAAACAGGGTGCAAGGAAATGATGACAAACCAGCAAAGAGTGTCTGAACAGGAGGAGATTATATGAGAGAGAGAAACAAAGACCAGGCTAATTAGCAGATTTGGAGCAGGTGTGAACAGAGGCAAGAAGGGAGCTAGGGAAAAGGAGACTGACACAAGAGGGCAAACAGGAAATATCTAAGGACTGAAATACAATCAAAAATACCTAGAACACAAGAATCGAAATAAGACCAATGAAAACTCAAAATAAAACTTGGACAAAAACAAAACCATGACATGGTTAATGTCAGAGCAGGCATGATGAATCCAACGTCTCTAAAAGCTAAAAAAAAAAAAAAGGCTATTAAAACACAAAAAACTTATCACATAATACAATAAAACAAATGAAATGATTCAATAGTCCATATAGGTGGCCTAGTCCTAGTTTTAGTCCTAGTTTCTATTTTTTGACTCATCATGAGGGATTGATTGACGAGCCAAGAGTTGGCTTAGATTTAAAATCAGCAAGAAATTAAATTAGCCAATAGTTTTACGATAAGAATGTAAACTAGTTTGTTTCATTTGTCAGTTTACCATGTGTATTTAATCTCAGTGCTGTTTTCTTTTAACAGGGATCCAAACCAACCAGTTCCTCAAGACACCAAGTTCATCCACACAAAGCCCAATCGCTTTGAAGAAGTTGCTTGGTCTAAATACACTCCCAAAGAGCAGCTGTACCTCCACATTGGCCTCAAACCTCGTGTCAGAGATCACTACCGCGCCACCAAGATCTCCTTCTGGCTCCAACTAGTTCCTCACTTGCATCATGTCAATGAACTCTTGCAATCTGTTTCCTCTTTCACACACAGTCCATCTCCACAAGATGATACCCCTTATTCTTACACCAAGCGTCTATCCAAAGGCTGGACTCCTATAAGCACACGGCATCCAGGGTCGCAAGGAGGCACACCACAGCCACCGGAGTCTGCTTTGGGTCAGGATGGAGCAGAAAGTGGAGTTCGGATCCCAAATGAAGACTACTCCACTGAACTCTCAGTGACGATAGCAGTAGGAGCGTCACTGTTGTTTCTCAATATACTTGCGTTTGCTGCTCTGCTGTATAAAAAAGACAAAAGACGCCTTGAGCACCGTAGACCACGGCCACTGCCTCCTCCTAGAAGAGATATTACTCCTGCAGACGTTGCAGCACACCTGCAGGGAGAGGGACTGATGTCATTACAGGTGAGTAATTTAAATAGGCCCATGTAAACTAAAATGTTTCAAGGCATTCTTTTTTTTCTGAGAGACAATCATTATTCATCATTGCTAATAAAATAAAATAAAAAGTTAGTCCTTAAACACTTGTTCTCTAGTATGAGATAACAAAGCTAATTGAAACAATTGTAGATCTTTTTTCATCCTGTGGAAGAATTTCAGTAAATATCTCATCAGGTTATTTTCTATTCTAAAAAATGTCGAAACAATCAGTGGATTTTTGGTATACTTAGTTTGATTAATTAATTAATAGACTATTTGATTGTTAACAAGATGTGTTCTGTGTATGTTTCCTAAAAAACCCTCAGCACTCAAAATAAAGGCTTTATTTCAGGAAATTTTGCAGCCAGTAGCTTAAACAGCAGCCTCAGACTAGCTCATAGTAACATACATTCTTCTAGTCTTTCATATGTTCTTCTTGTTGAACCTAACAAATTGAGTTGCAGTGTTTTCTTCCTGGAACAGATGGTATTACTACTAAACCTTATAGCATAAATTCAGAATCTGGATTCTAGGGATAACTGCGGTTTTTTTTTGTGTGTGTGTAAATTTATGAGTCTGGAAAAAAAAACTAAATAGCAATAAAAGTTAAACAAAAAATGCTCTTGCCTTAGCTAGAGCAAAGTTGTTAGGAAAGATTAACTAAACTCTTGGTCGGTTGGAAGTACAGCTGCTGGCGGATTGCTCTTCTGACTCACAGACTGTCATCAGAGGACATTATCAGTATGAAAATTAGAGAGAACATTTGGATGCATGCACATGTGTTAGATGTGTACAACTGCATGAATGGCTACACATTTCCTCCATTTCATTCCCAGAATATTTCAGTTTTATTTGCTGTGTATTAGTTGAAAATGTTACACAGTGTGTGAAGCTATTTATATATTTTTTTATGCCTGACAATTTCTAATAATTAGCAATTCAGCTGTGTTGCTGTGCACCACAGCTGCTTTGATGATGTTATTTGTCTGTGTATTTTATCATATTATATAAGAAAGAAAAAGCAGCAAAACCCTTTTGTTTCTGCAAACAGTGTTGCTATTAATGCTTGTGTTGAAGACATAGGGATATTCTAGTTTCAGATGCTGTTTAAGGGCATGCTGGAATATGTTTACAAGACTCATAGGCTGTAAAAAAGGAGACAAAATACTTTATGTTCAAATTTGATTTACTACAGAGCCAATGTCAATTGACCAATTGTTATCCACTGAGATTCAAACTAATAGACTGACTGCTTAACTGATGATTAAATAGGATGTTGTTTTCTTCTTTACTAGCAGGACTATTGGATGGTGAAAAAAACAACAACTAGTTTTTAATTTTAATTTCTAAAAGCACTTTAATATAGAAGCAAGCTGAAACTTACAGTAGGAGTATCAGTACTGATATTTTTAATTTGTATGTTGAATAACAAAATCAAACTTATAGCTAATTGTATTATTCAAAGACAATAAAATCATGTCTGAGAAAGAACACGAGGTTTAAAGCGTGTCTTCAAAGATATTTTAGTACATTTTGTAAAACCTTTCAAGCTGATATGAAGACTTTATAGCTTAAAACTACTGCGGTACCAGTCTAACAATAAGATACACACATTATGTTTAACACTGCATCACTTTTTTGAATTAATGTCTTACAGGAAAAATATATTTCTTTTAATATGATTTCTTTTGTGTTTTAGCAATTGGACAAAAAAAGAAGAATTTTTTAAGTAGCTACACTCTGGTTTGAGCAACATAACGGCATAAAATCTCTACAAATGTCTCTCTTGAGTATGGAACACACAATTAACGGCTTTCCAGTGAAAGAAAGAGAAAGCTCTATGCTGCTCCCATTTAGTAGAATTTGTAAAGGTTTATTATTTTTAATTGATTAGGAATAAAACACAACGTTCAAGCTAAACATAAGCTGAATTAAATTAATGATGCCAATAATAACTACATAGGGAGAAACTGCAGTCTCTTGAAATCAGAGTTGAGGAATCAGATAAAAAGGAACATAAAACAAACTAATAAATTCACATTTACTTTCTTCCATTTTTAAGTTGTAGTATTTAACATCTCAGTCACCTGTGTAGAGCCACAATCAGGTAGTCTTTAGTCTGTGGATGATCCACTGATAGGTTTCACATACCACAGTATTTACCTAATGAATAATAGATTGAGGTATGAGCAAACACACTGCCGTTGAGGGCATGATGCTGCCAGCCTCATACTTCAAAGTAGGGATTGTGTTCTCAGACCTGCAGGCTTCTACCTCTGTTAGTTACATTAGTGTAGATGTCAGGATTAGTATTCTTTCACTGTGGATAATGACGCTCTCGTAGCAGCTCCAATCGACATCTTATCAAGGTTTTGTGAAAACAACTCAAACCAAATGACATACAGTTTTATAACACACAGCCCGTCTCCTTTTTAAATAGAGTTTTGAATAAGACATTCCCATGGAGTTTATTATAGTGTATAACTGTCGGAAAAGATGAATGTGTCACCCTAAGGCAACTGTTGTTCAATAATGAAAATTATACTTTAGAGTTAACCAGACACGTAGAGATCCCACTATTATGTTCCTGATATCTTTTCTGATATCCTTTACCCCATAATGTCACGCAAAGAAGCAGTTTCTTTGAAGTGTTATCTTAAAATACATACAAAGATGTGTCACACTATATCGGATTTCCTTAATTCTTTAAAAACATAGTTGATCTAACTGTATGTGAACTTATGTATTTTTAAGTAACAGCATCAATGCATTGTGCATTTATCAGATGTGAATATAAACAATTTAGGTTACCCTTATTATGCCAATAATTTCAATTTAATGCTGACCTGGGGGACATTAAATATGTTATTTAATCAAGTAATTTTTGGACAATTATATGTTGTCCTCTGTATGAACACCCGCCCAAATGGCTGTGTGTTAGTACAACAAATGAAGGTGCGATTAGAGCCCAAATCCTGGCCAAACTCTCAAAGGTATTGTGGAGGATTTTGGAGAATTTTTGAAAATACCTGCCCTCTCCACTTAAAAAAAAAATGCACATGCACAACCCTGTACCTGCTCATGAGAGGGAATGCCTATAAATGCGTGCAAGAGCACGCACAAGCCCATTTCTCCTCGTTAACGCTCTGTTTAAAAGGTACTGTTCTCATAGCTTATGCAAACTTACTGTGTCTAAACATCCGCCCTAACCCCTAAATCCCTCAATCACTATATAGAGCGGGGACTATAATATGGATATTATAGTGAACTCAGTTAACTTACCATTCGAACAGATGATCACTGCTTTTTGCTACCCGTTGGTCACGTAAATCCTCCTCAACTGCGTCCCTGTGCCATTTTTGTTATTGTCGTGTAGCGACCGCCTAATGCATCAGCGGGCCGCTGTGACAGCAAGTCCCATAATGCTTTGCGAGGACAGCTCTTCACGCAAAGTATTCCGGGATGTATCTGCCACTCTGAGACCTTTTATTTCTTCTAATGCACTTCGTAGACACTTTTTCTATTACCACAGATATACGCCTGAAAGTGCGAATGCTCAGAAAAATATAGTTGACGGGACGAGCACATAGGGCAGCTTTACATAAAGATATCACCAGAATGAGTGACAATTAGGAGGACCATTTTTTAAGATGATCCACCAGAAATCAAAGATCGTCCTCTATACTTTTAACTCTGCACACATATGGAATAAATTCACAACGAGAGCAAATATTTTGCTTCCTATGTTCAAAGTTAATATCATGGCTCATGATATAACACCCTATGAACACAAAGCATGTAAAGTTGCTCTTGTCTTATATTGGATAGTGAGATTTACATTTTTTCTGCATATAAATCAATATCTGGTTTCAACTAAAACTGATATGAAATAATATTAGCTGTTTAGTCACATGTGGAAAAAAGAAATGGTGAAATTTTCTCCTTGAAAATCTGAAGCAAAAAAAAAAACTAAATGAAAGGCATGCTGAAACAGGCATTTAAACACATGTCTGTTTGATTGAATGATGTGCCAATCATTAAAACTGGGCTCCATGATCAAATGTACTTGGTTCATTGACTCTCAGATACATCAAAAATAACATACATGCATGTATACTGTATACACAGAGTGGTAAGTTAGTATTTTTATGAATGCAGCTGTTTTTAGACAGTGATTTCATCACAGTACCCTAGTTTTTCACCACATTGTAAGAAAGAATATTTTAAAAAAGATGTAAAACTTTATGATTTACCAAATTTCTGTTTTATTCATTAATATTTTCACTTGTCAGTAAAAAAAAAAAAAAAAAAAAATAGATAAATGGAGTCAGATTAAAGGGTTTCAGTTCTATATTACTGTAGAAGTAGTACTGTGGAGTTGCTGGCTGGAAAATCCTAAAATGAAGATTACATAAAGTATCAATTAGAGGGTTACGTAAAATATAAATATAGAAATAAGGTGTTTATCACTCTCAGTCCAAAATTGAGGCATGTGAAGAGTTCATCTTCCAGGCTAAAAATTATTTTAAACCATCCAAGTTCAATAAATTACAAAATCAGACATTAAGTACATGAGTATGAACTTTTGTTAATATCCTCTTCTCCACATAGGTTTAAAATTCTGCATGCAGCTTAAAATTCTGGCAAATTCACCAGAAACCATTGATGTCAGGGTGGAGGTTGGTTGGGGACACAAATGCAGAGATGAAGAGGCAGAGATGAGTTTTGCTGATTTAACAAGGCAGGAAAAGAATCACAAGTTCAGGAACAAAATACTGAAAACCGAAACCTAGAAGTATCCAGGGGAAAAAACACATAAAGAGCAAAGTAACAACAAGAAACCGGCAATGAGGAACTGCAGAGGAGGTGTATATATGGGGACACGACAAAGAATGGGCTAATGAGCTGATATGGAGCAGGTGTGGATAGACGTAACTAGAAGGAAGCTTGGGGAAATGAGAGAGGTACAAGGAGGCATCAGAGAGAACTGTAACTTGGACGCTGCAACCCAGCTCAAATATATCACAAAATAGAAAAGAAACTACCAAATTACCAAAAATAGAAATTACCAAAAATAACAGAATGGTAGAGATAAGTGAAAAATAAAAAAGAAACGCAAAAAGAAGTCCAAAAGGGGAGAACCGTAACATAAACTAGCAGATAAAAGACTCTCTCTTTAGTAATCAAGCTTAGGCTTAGATCTTACTGGATATTTGACCATTCCTTACAAAATCGAATACAGTTTCTTTCCATTGGTTGGTTTGCTGACATAGACCAAATTTATGTTTCTCTTTACCTTTTCTAGGTTAAGCTGGGGGACTTAAGAAGTTTAACACTATCCTGCTTCATCCCTTATAATACTATTCCATACAGACCATTAAAACTACCGGTAGCTATTAATTGCTACATTATCAAAGTAGTGAGGATTCTACTATTTTTCATGTCAAGTTTTTAGTTCCCTCAAATTCATTTATGTCACAAATAGGTACAGGTGAATTAAGAGATTCTGCACCATTCAGAAAAATACTATAAAAAATTATTACAAGTTACAAAATCTTTTGACAATGCTACAGGAGTGTTAGGAAATACTTAAAAATCAGTACAAAATATTCCAAATGCATATAAGGCTCAAATACAATTAAGTGTAACCATTTCACTCTGATAAAATAATTATGTTCTACAATGTGTAGCTGTGAAACTTGAGTATTAACACCCGCTGCTTATACTGTAGCAGGACTGCTTTTAAAAGAAGCTGGTAGCTTAGAATATAGCCAGTACAAAGATTGATGCAGACTGATTGAAGCTAAGGGTGAAAAATGAGAATTAGCCACCTGTTTGAAAATGGCATTCTATGTGTTTGTCCTGAATCCTTGAGATTATAATTCTTAGGAATGCTTACAAAGTATTTAAATCTGCGTATGTTCCAATATATAAGAGTTAAGAATGAATTTATAAAGAAATAACTGTTTTGCCATTAAAGCTTTTAATGAGAAGGGCTTGTAAATAAAGACAACAGTAAATTTAAGTTGTGCCTGAAGGTTTTAATTTTCGGGCAATGTTTCTCTCTTGATTTGTGTCTCTTTCTATGATGACAAACTAGAATATCGATATTTCAGATGCTTTAGTTCATGATAAATTTTAACATTTGACGTTCTTTATCTTAGGTCCCTGACATAACTCGCTGATTTAGACAGCGTATGCGTGACATTCCACAATCTCCTAAAACTCTGGCAGATGCTGAACTTTCTATGTATTGTATTGTTGGAAAATTTTGAGCATGCTCAAAATTTCTCAACGTACTTGCAGTATGTTGAGATGTGCCAGCGTTTTCCAGCCTGCTTTAGTGTACTTCAGCGTGCTCACAACTTATACAAAATGTACCCATAAGTTATCCAAGGTATGGCAGCGTTTTTTTGCCTGATTTTTCATACGTCAGGCATACACATGTCTAAATGGTCAAGGTCAAGTCTTGACAGGGGCTTTAGAAAAGTTCCTTCAACCTAAGGATCAAACTGTGGATCATATATTTAACCTTAGACACAAAAGCCACACAGCCACACATTCAACCTTGTGGCTTTGGCTTAAATTAAGCTTTGCGAATGGCCTGACCAAAGCCCTAACATAATTCCTACTGATGTCATGAATAGAATATGGTTAAAACATTGCGTCTGTGCTACAAAATCAACCTCTGTAAATTAACCTCATCATTTCTATGAAGAAAACTTAAACATTTTGTTGTGTCATTATTGTGATATGGCAAAAAGAATAGTTTAATGCAGCGATAAAAACCTAAAATTATAACATTGATTTGGTACACTGACTTTGATCTGTTAACTAATATAGTCGCAGCTAAATCTAAACATTTGACTTAATATTTTTTATTTCGTTCATCTTCATCACCTCTTTTTTTCCTGTTGTTTATGCTTCAGGTGAAGCAGCTTGAATGTGACGTTGCGTCCGCAGATGAGAGAAACAATGCTCACCATCACACTCTGGACACCCTTGATGCTCTTGATGGTTTGGACACCCAGGACATTTACAGCACACTCGACACTGTGCGCCTCACCTGTCCACCTGATTACACCCTAACTCTGCGCCGCTCTCCTGATGACGTTCCCCTCATGACATCCCTGACCCCAGGCTCGCTGCCCGTGACCCCAGGGTCACATCCTGTTACCCCTGCAACACCAATGACCCCAATGACACCCGGATCAGTTGCTGGGATGAGGATGGGCCACCCTCACCAGGGATATACACACCATAGCCCATATAGTAATACACACTTGCCCCACACACACATCTCTGCACATACACACTCCACCACACGTGTATAACCGCAGCCAGACACACACATACAGCCACACACAGTCACAGCTTACACTAACAAATACACATATTCACACACATGCATAAAACAGACTGAAATACCTCTTAATAATTACCCTGCAGGATTGTTACAGATTGATCCACAGAGAGACATTTGTCGGAATGAGAAGGCAGACCTGTGTGTGTTGCATGTTGGGGAAACTGACTTAAACCTGATTCCCTGGAGACGCAGCTCTGTGCAACATTTGCTAAAAACCCAACGTGTCAAGAGCCGCTCTGGATTTTAAAATCTGCTTTTTCTACACCTCAGAAGGACAGTTGCACGTGTCAGTTATGATTCTATTTTACTGCAACTGAGTGACCGTTTTGGGAATTTAGAGATCAGACACATACATAGAAGCGAGCTGAGAAGTATCACACACAGACTGCTGATGTCAACTTGAACAACCTGTTAAAATGTGAATGTAGCATTTTTTCCATTGAAATAGATAAAAGGCCCTATCTGCCAAGGATCCAACTAAGCTGAGAGGAAAAGAGAAAAAAAATATAGCAAGTGACAGTTGTAAAAAAAAGGATAAAAAAGAGAAGGATTAGAAATTATATATATATATATATATATATATATATATATATATATATATATATATATATATATATATATATATATATATATATATATATATATATATATATATATATATATATATATATATATAAAACATGAAAAGAATGACAACAGTTATGTTCAGACAAGGAATGGGCCTCGGAAGCTTTGCTAGACTCCCTTAAGAGTCATTCTAACCAGCTATGTGTCAAACTCTTGTAAATAGAATGGAAAGATACAGATGATATATTATGATTTATAGCATTTATCTGCTACTTGCATTAAGACATGACTTATTTAACCACATTATTGCTTTCATTTCAGATACGTATAAATATATTATTGTATAGATGTCCTAAAGCAAGGCTGGTTGTCTTTCCATCTCATCTCCTGTAGTATGTACACAGTATGTTGATATAAAAGCTACATTTGCTATGCAGAGTCATTTTAGTATTTTTTACCTATGTGGCGACCGTTAGATACTTGTTCAGTAGCTGAACATTAGAATTTTTTGTTTACATCATCCTGTTTATTTTTCTTTTAATATTGATCAATGATCAGTGCTGTCTAAATGACGCAGTATTGGTTTGATGATTAAGCACCAGCTCAAAAAAAAGAGAAAAAACAAAAACAAAAAACAACTCAAACCCTTTGACTGTAACCTCTTGTATCAGATTGTTTACCATAAATACTTTACCTTTGCAGCCCAAACGCTTCATCTTTTGAAATAGAGACAGATGGTCAAATTAAGGGTGCCGTGCTATTTACCGAATATCTGTAAGAATCAACATTGCTTTTTTTTAACAAGTCTTATAGGAAGTAAATAATAATGGGATTTATGCTAATTTTATAATGCTATAACCACAAACTTTAATGCATACTGTAGTGTATTTTGTGACAGGCCAACACAAATTAGTATTGTTGAGTGGAAAAAAGGCATGTTCTAAACATGATTTCAGGTAAAATGCTTTGCAGCATCACCTTTCCACTCGCTTACAGCTGTGAGTCATTGAAAGTATGTTGCAGCTCAAACTAGAGTCTCTATGTATTTTTAAGTCTTGCCTCAGATTCTTAATTGGGTAGCTGCGTTGCCTTGAACTTTAATCACCTTCATTAGATTGAATGGAAAATAAGCTAGAAACTAGTCTTTCTTTTAAAAACATAAATAATGTATTGAAATGCAGCACGGAGAAGGTATTTTTTTTCCACTGAGGAAAGGACATTTCTCTTTTTTATTTAGTGTTATAATGCATTTTATATATTATAAGATTAAAAGCTTCCATCTGTGTGTAACTATCTTATCACAGCTGTTTAGGTTTGTGGTGCTAAAAGCGCTCACTCTGGGACAGCTACTTACTCCTGTCTTTCTTGTTTTTCAAGTTATAAATCAGAAATCTTAATTCTGTTTTGTTGTCTGGAGTTGTTGAGCCAGTCTTTTTTTTTCAACTTTCTTTGTATCATTTAAATACTGTAATATTGCATTTATAGAAAGATAAGAAATAGAAACAGAAATTTTACATTCATTTAGAAAAAAAAAAGGGTTTTGTGTGTCCGGCGTGTCACAAAACAGTCTTTTGTGCGTGACATTGCTTTCACAAATTAAAACAATTACCTTAACCTGCAGTTAGAATGATGTGGTTGCAAGACCCAACTGTGCTGCATTTGAGCTTTTAATGCATCTAATATTTTTTTTTTTTTTATCATTTCACATTAACAGGGGAGGTCCACTATCTTTTTTCCTCTGCATGCATCTTCTCCACCTATCTATTAGACCTGCAATCTGTGCAAGGTGCTTTTGCAACATGCAGCTGCCTTTGAGATAGAGAAAATAAATCCACTCTGCTGTCCAAAAATATCCATGGTGACATCCAGCAGCACTTGCAAAATTCTAATTTAAACAGGCTTGTCTGCATCACTTCTGCACCTCATTGATGGGACACCAACTGCAAAATCACTCCGCCAACACTGAACTGCAAGCCAATGTAGGAGAGGCTCCAACAAAAGCAGGATAGTTTTAACGGTGCCATATTAAAGAACAATGTTACCTTAGGAATTTAATGAGGCATTCTTCCCTGATCAGCACACCATCAAGCAAAAACAACACGTGAAATTGTTTTCTGCATCAAGTCTGTAAAGTTATGATAAGGGAGCAACAGTCAAAGTTAATGTCCAGGTTTTTCAGACAAATAATGATTTATTTTATGAATTTAAACATCACAAAAAAACAGGTAAATTAATTGTTACCTTTAAAGAAACAAGCAGCCTGTAGCTCCACTTGACTACTGCTGCATTCAGCTGCTCATTAGATCCACAACTTTGTCCATCTTTTAAAATGTCCAAGATCTCTTTTTTGTTTTGGAAATAGAATAAACTGTGTTTCAATCTACTTCAAATAAATATATTTATTATATAAAAAATGTATCTGAATTGAATTTATCCCGCAAAAAACAACAAAAAAACATTTTGGGTCTGATCTTCAAGATTCCAAATAAGGTGCTAAAATGCACATGCAATTTTCTTTTAGTACCTGCAATAATTAGGTCTGATGTGGTTGATCAACAGATTGCTGCTAAAATATCAAGATCTCCAAACCATTTGGTTCTGTCCTATTATGCGTTGAATGAGTAGATTGCCTGTTTTCTTCATGTATTTGAAAGTGGCTATAAAAGAAAGATGAGGTTCTTAACCATTTAGAAAGAGGTAGTAATAATATAAATTATTCAAAAATGCTAAATAATATTTAAGGAGCTAAAGTTATCATAATATGATAAATTATCTAACATGAGAAAGTTTTCTTTATCTGTTGATCGTCTAAAAATGTTTGTGTATCTTAAAACAGGTGCAAATGTATAGAATATAGCCATGCTACCTGCTTTTTTAAACTGAGGGATTAAAAGATCCCTGCTGTTAGGAGTACGAGACGTGAACTTTCACCACATGTGTTTTTGTTGACCCATTTGATATTCTATTTTTTTATATGAACATACCACAACATTCAGTCATTTTCTTTGTTTCAATTTAATGTATAATGATTGTCTGCCCTATTTATTTATATTATTCTTCTGTTGCCATGTCTGACTTTAAAAATCCTTAAACTGCTGATTGAGTTGAGTTTCAGATTTGGAAAATTGTTTTTCACTCGGCAAAAGTTTCCATTTCCATATTTTCTACTTATTTGCAAAGTTTGGTAATTAGAACATGATCTAAACATTGATAAAGACATACACAAAAAAAGGCATGCACACACTGTCGGCTGAATTGCAAACACATATTTTTTGCACAAGATCTGCTGAGGGCACACAAAGATTTTTGCACCTGTTTAAGAGAAGCAAACCTACTGAAGATCAGGCTCTTACCATTTTGTTAGCCGTGTTTTTGAACCAATTTCCCACGTTTTGTATGCCTTCGCAATGCAAAATCCTGGCAATGTTATTGGAGGGCACTCTTACAGGTGAGGGCCAATTTACTTAGAGATAAACTGTATTTTATTATTGATCAGTTGCCAACAAGGATCCAGGGTGACATGTCAAATCACGTGCATTTCTTTTGTTGCACAAGCAACTTAAAATTTGTCTATTTGGGATATTAATAGATCAGGACATGAAGGCCAAAACAGCTTGTAAAAACCTGCAAACATGCAACTGTTATTTTTTTATCAACATTTATAATGACAAGATTTGTAGAATGTGAGGCAAATCATTTCACAGCCAAGAGCTTTTGTCACCTGAGTGGCGGATATATATAACTGCTTCTTACCATAGGCCTCTTGGCTGGTTATTTGCAACACTCTTGCATAATCTTTTGGTTTTGGTCTTGCGAAATATACAATTATCCTGAACTTATTTTTTCTTTCCTTTCCAGATTAAGTTTTGGTAAAGGAGCCCCATTAGATGTTTGAACCTAGTATGGCTTTAAAATATTTCCCAGCTTTCCGTCACCCGTTCAGAGTATTCCTACATCTTGATTGTACAATTTGTTCACTAATGTTCTTTAAAAATGTCTCTGAAGCCTTTCTAAAACATCTGTATATATACTAAGTTTAAACCACACAGAGGGAAACTACTGTATTTGTTAATTAGGTGATTTCTAAGGAATTTGCTGCACTGAATGTAATGCAGGGGTAGGTGAAAAGATTATAAATAGTTTTATTTGATATAAAAACAAAATTCATGTATCAGTTTTTTTACACTTTACAAACTACTTTGTGTTGTCTATCACTTGTTCTCCTAAAAGCATTTTAAAGTTTGTGGTTCTAAAGAAAAAGAAATATAAGCATACTTGTGCAAGGCTCTGTGCCTTTGTTATCTATACATAATGAGGGGCCCAGTTTTTCGAGTCCTGCTCCTCACTGAATAACTCAAAAAGTCAAAAAGATTTCTATAAAATCTATTTTTAAAGCCAGGT